ACCATTATCGCTGTCTTCCCTTTTGATTTGGGTATGCCTATTATGAAGTCCATTGTTAATTCCTCCCATACAACCTTTGGAATTGGTAATGGTTGTAATAACCCTACAAATGACATCGGTTGGTTCTTGGTGACTTGACAAATGGGGCAAGATCGCACAAATACCTGAACATCTACTCTTATATTGGGCCAAAAAAATTGTGTGGCTAGGCGGTGAAGAGTCCTCTTAACCCTTTTGTGTCCCTCAATCGGTGAGGAGTGGAATTCATAGAACAGTATAGTCTTCAGCTCTGATGTTGATGCAAGAACTAATCGTCCTTTGAAGAAAACTAACCTATCCTTCACCCCATAGCGTTCAAACCCATTTTTATTTTGAGTTACTCCTCAGCAATGTGAATCAATTCTGGTTGGCTTTGCACCTCTTCACGTAGTTGGTCTAGCAATGGATTTACCACACTGGTCATAGTTAAGATAGTGCTCCCACTCTCCTTTTTTCCTTCATGCACCCTAGACAAGCGTTATCTACCTTGTTGATTGAGCCAGGTGGTATTTGATGGTGTAATCAAAACCCAATAGCTTTACCAAGAATCTCTGTTGTTCAGGTGTTTGGATGGTTTGTGCCATCAGCTCCTTAATGTTGCATTGGTCCGTTCTAATGGTGAACTTGGCTCCAAGAAGGTATTGCCTCCATTTGGCTACAACCTCAATGACAACAAACAGATCTCTGACATAAGTGGAGGCTTGTTGCATTTGCGGGTTCAACTTCTTGCTAAAAAATGTAATTGGTCGACGATTTTGGCTTAACACCACTCCTATTCCGATGCCTAAAGCATTTGTATCCACCACAAAGGGTTGCCCAAAATTTGGCAAGGCCAATACTGGGTAATTGGACAACGCATCTTCAACTCATTCATGGCTTTAATTGTTGCTGAACTCCATTCGAAGGCATCCTTTTGTAATAAGGCTATCAGTGGTGCAGCAATCTAAGAGAATCTTTTAACAAATTTGCAGTAGTAGCCCGCCAGCCTAAGAAATCCTCTGAGTTACTTTACAATGGTGGTTTCTTTCCACGAAATAATGGCTTCAATCTTTCCTTCGTCTGGTGTTACCCCTTCTACATCCACCACATGTCCCAAGTACTCTACACTCGATTGGGCAAATGAACACTTGGTCATCCTAGCAAACAAATTATTCTCCTTTAGACAGCTGAGAATGGTTCGAAGGTGGAACTTATGTTCTTCCCAGTTCCTACTATAAACAAGGATATCGTCAAGAAAAAAAATGATTACAAATTTTCTGAGATATGCCTTCAACATAGAAGTCATAATTGCTTGAAAGGTGGCTGGGGCGTTGGTTAGCTCGAATAACATAACGACAAACTCATGATGCCCTTCATGAGTTCGAAATGCAGTCTTGTGGATATCCTCCTCAACCATCCTTATTTGGTGATATCCTGCTCTTAGGTTCGTCTTTGAGAAAATAGTAGCCCTATGGAGTTCGTCTAACATCTCCTCAATAGTGGGAATTGGGAATCTATTTGGAATGTTCACTTGGTTCAAGGTATGGTAGTCTATACAGAACCTCCATGTTCCATCTTTCTTTTTAACCAGCAGTACTAGAGAAGAGAAAAGGGCTCAAACTAGGGCAGATCACTACTGTTTCTAGCATCTCCTTGACCATCTTTGATTTATGTGGAATGGTGTTGAAATACTGAATAATTCTCTAAAATAACTGCTGTATCAAAACTAAAGTTATTCATAATTATGGATTTAACTTAATTTAAATAAGTTTAAATAAGATTACAGGTAATGTAACAAGTTGCTTAGTTTACAACGAATTTTGACCTAGTCAATGGCAAAATTTCTGGTTAGCAAAACAAAAATAAAGGTGCTTCTTAGGGCTAAATATGCCCACGATTTTTATTGTGTCGCCAATTCACACTACTGGCTACTGTCAATACTCAAAATATCTCAAAAAAATTCTACGAAAAGTCCAAATTCGAATTCGTGAATCACAAATTTTTTTCATTTACGCCCTAAAGCGCGTGTTGCTTTCTACGGCTCACCCCAACCTGAATACAACTTGGCATTGATTAATTTTCACTGGTCATTTTTTTTTTCTTGTAAGAAAAATCACTTTCTTTTCAACAAGGATTCTATAAATGCTTCCCTTTAAATTAGTAAATTGACTAATTTTCAACGGAAGTGGAAACCTGATTTTAGGAAATTCATTTTCCTTTGTATCTTGCCAATAAAGTTATCTCTATACAATAGTGCCCACGGAGTTGTCTAGATACAAAGTTTTATACAATTTCGTTGTTCATTTTTATTAAAAAGGACACAAATTTACATTATTTCTTCTAACAGCAAAAAGAAAAAAAAAAAGATTTGAAAATTTTTATGTACATTTTGCTTGGAAATCCCATTATTTCACCTGAATTTTTTTTAGAGCCTTTTAAGTAACGGTGAAAGTGGGCTGGACTGAGTCAAGCTTTGCCTCGAAAAGCTCAAGTCTATGCTAAAAAAATTTAATTTGACCTGGTCCAAGTCTAGTACGAGTCTAACTTTTAGTCTTACTTGACCCGTTTATAAAAAAATAAATGGCCTAGCTTAGCTTGTTAGCCTGTTAATTTTTAACTTCTAAGCAAAATCATGAATCAACTTTACAAAATACTTAAATTATGTTACTAAACCAAAAATCATAATTTCAACGTCCAAACAGAATCATGAATCACAACAAAACTCATACAATCTGAATTTAAGTCACTTTCGAAAGCAAAATGCTCAAACTAAATAACATATATTTCATCAGATCCAACAAACAAATCTATGCTATGTAAATTAAAATAACTAATTGAATCCAACAAACACATCATGATGCTTGTAATAAGTATAACCTCTCCCAAAAATCTTTTAATATATTCATATAGACAATCTAACATGTTGATTCCTCCTTCATAAGAAATAAAGTCAGATTTCTATTAAAATATAATCGAATATAATTAAGTTATAAATAATTGTAATTGATTAAATTTATATCTTTTATTTTTTCTTCAAGGCATACTTATTCTATTTTATTTTATTTTAAATAAATAGTACAATATAGGCTGATCTGTAGACTTATAGGTCATACCTTGTGAAAGTGGGCCTACGACCTTTTTATTAAACAAGCTTTGTCAAGGCCCAAGCCCGACCTATTTTACGAAATATATTATGTCAAGTCTGACCTAACGTAAACCGAATCGTAGGCCCCTGTAGGCCGGCTCGACCTAATTTCACTGCTACTTTTAAGTTTAAACACATAACACGTCAATACATTAAAAAAAGCCAAATAAAGAAATGTGCCACAAGAAAAATAAGGCAAATTTTAATAACTATCATTAATTACTTTGAATTAAAGGGCACATTTGCAAAGAGAACAAGACAACAAACGTACCACGAACGTAGGACGATCACACATCACATGAGTGAGTCAGAGAACAAAAGGGCAAAGCTTCCTATTTATTCCTCTGCGATCCTCTTCCTATGTTGATGGTAAGATCCATCTTAAGTTCTTATGTTTACTTGTTTTGTTTACGTTCAAGATTCCACATTTCCTCAAAATAAATAAGGTTCCAACTCAACCTCCACTACACAACTTCACAAAAACTCCACAACATTTGCATGCATTGTTCAGAGGTTCTTTTTCTTCTTTGTGTTTGTGTGTGTGTGTGTTTCTTTTTTATATTTCCCATCATTCTGTTTTGCTTAAAACTGTGTCCAATTTGTGTTTTTTTTGTTAATATTGAATAATTATGTGACCCTTAACTTATTCTCTCTCTACCTTTTGGCTCATGGCATAAAAAAAAATTGTCACTTTGCTTTTACTTAAAATCTTTATATGCTTTTTGATCTTTCTCTCTCTTTTGTATAGTGTTTTTGTTATTTTGAGAAAGTGGATTCTGGATTCCACACGTATGGGTATCTGTTGTTTCTGTTTGATGTTGCTATCATGCGGTTGGTTTTATATTTTGGATGCTTGTGATATCATTACCCGCGTTCTGAAGGAACAAATTTTCTCAAATTGTGACCACATGCCAATACTAATTGAAGTTTGAAATTAAAGAGACCATTGTCATTACACTTTATATATATGCCAATAATATAAAGTTGAGTTCATTTTAGAATTTTTTGATATCATTACTGGTTTTGTATCTTTGAATAGTTCTGCATTTCCTGTTTTCTTTCTAATGAAAGTAATATCAAATTGATGGGGTTTCTTAGGCTTCTTTGTTGTATTTATCTAGGACTACATTATTTCATTATGATTTTGACTATTACGTAACTCACAAGATAAGTACCACCAATAATTACAATGTTGCCATTACATAAGTTTACCCATGATTGTGATTGGAGCTTCATGAGCTCACAACTTCATTGCTTTGCTCATCCTCCCTCTCCAATTCCTACTTTATAAGCAAACTCAACTTAAGCATTTGTAATATGAAATCCATGATAGTAACTTAAATAATTTTTCTGTATGTTTATTTGTTTTCTCTGATTTAAGTTGTATCCATGATTGTGATTGGAGCTTCATGAGCTCACAACTTCATTGCTTTGCTCATCCTCCCTCTCCAATTCCTACTTTATAAGCAAACTCAACTTAAGCATTTGTAATATGAAATCCATGATAGTAACTTAAATAATTTTTCTGTATGTTTATTTGTTTTCTCTGATTTAAGTTGTATCCATGATTGTGATTGGAGCTTCATGAGCTCACAACTTCATTGCTTTGCTAATCCTCCCTCTCCAATTCCTACTTTATAAGCAAACTCAACTTAAGCATTTGTAATATGAAATCCATGATAGTAACTTAAATAATTTTTCTGTATGTTTATTTGTTGTCTCTGATTTAAGTTGTATCTCTGATTATATGTTTACTTATTTTCAGAAACCTTCAAACAGATCTTTATAGGTAACTAAAAGAACAAGAACGAGGAAATAGGAAATTAGCTGTGATACTATGGCAGATGTCCAAAAAACACATGATGAGGAAGAAGATGGCATATATACAGAAGATGGGACAATCGACATTTACAAAAAACCTGCCAACAAAAAAAGGACTGGAAATTGGAAAGCATGCCGCTTTATTCTTGGTATTGGACTTTTTCCCTCTTTATATCTGATGCACATTCATGTATTAGAATAACCTAAATACCACCACCCTTGAAACCCCAACTAGTGAGGGTAGAGGTGACATAAAAACTAGTCCCTATTAAATCCCGACTAGCGACGGTGGGGTGAGAGTAATCCTTGTACCAGCCTTACTTTTGTATATTTGCAAAGAAACTGTTTCTCAAATTCGAACTCTAACCTGAAGGAGTAGCCTGAACCTAAAATGATGGAAATTAAATTCTGGCAGGAAATGAATGTTGTGAAAGATTGGCATACTATGGCATGAGTACAAACCTAGTGAACTATCTCCAGGAACGTTTCAACCAAGGAAATGCAACTGCTGCAAATAATGTCACAACCTGGTCAGGGACATGCTACCTGACGCCATTGCTTGGAGCCTTTTTAGCTGATTCATACTTGGGAAGATACTGGACAATTGCAAGTTTCTCAACTATCTACGTCATTGTAAGTTCATTTGAAGAGAAAACTTCTTTGTTTGTTGCAGTCCATGTGTAGAAAATTAGAATTCAAACATGTTTCCGTTTTTATTTCCTATTAATTAGGATTGATTATGATTGATTAGGATTGATTATGATTGATTAGGATTAATTGTGATTGATTAGAATTGATTGTGATTAGGATTGTGATAGGATTGATTAGTCATCGCTTAGTCATTCTTAGCGATTCTTTCTTGTATAAATACTCACTCATGTAATTTATTCAATATCAATATACAAAAACTTCTTTTCAATATGGTATCAGAGCGGGTTCGTTCCTACCCTAATTCAAATCTGAAATAACCATCCAAACACTTCCATCACCGTCAAACACCTCCTAAACACCGCCTTGAATCTGTCCAACACAGAAACCTAGTTTACTGACCTCCGATCAAAAAAGTGAGGTGACCATTCGACTCAGAAGGATCCGACGAGTCGACCGCCGCTGGACCCATCGCCGTCAGCCGCTGCACGCGCCACCACGCGCCGCCTTCCAGACGTTTTTTTTCCGTCGCGACTTGCACAGACCTTCTCGCCGGCTTCTCCCCTTCCTGTTCCAGAGGTCAGATCAAAAGTTTACAAAACTTGATTTTTCATCAACGGTCAACCCTTCTCTTTTTATTCATGGCTTCCTCAAAACACTCTTTTTATTACCACGAGCAACCTCCTAAGGCCACTAGTCATGTGGTCCAGCAAGGTACAACTTTCCATGTTGATAGTCAAAATCATTGGATCCTTGATTCTGGAGCCTCTGATCATATGACAGGTAATCTTGGCTTGTTTTGTTCATACACTCCATATTCTGAACCTTCTCGGGTCAAGATCGCCGATGGCAGTTTTTCCCAGATTGCGGGACACGGAACCATTAAACTTTCTGAGCTGATTACTTTGACATCAGTTCTTTATGTTCCTTCTCTGACTTGTAATCTCATTTCCATTAGCAAGCTCACCTCTGAGTTGCATTGCTTTGCTAAATTCTTTCCACATGGTTGTGTTTTTCAGGAACAGGACTCGGAGAGGATGATTGGCAGTGCTAGAGAGGATGGTGGACTTTACTACTTTGAGGAGGATGTGACTCATGAAGCTGTTTTCGTAGAAAAAAACTCTATGTTTCCTTTTGATTCATGTAATGATGTTATGCTGTGGCATCGTAGGCTAGGCCATCCAAATTTTATTTATCTTCAGAAGTTGTTGCCAAACTTATTTATTAATAAAAGTCCAAGTTTGTTTTCTTGTGATATTTGTCAACTTGCCAAGCATACTCGTGCTCATTATCCTTCTAAAGTTCACCATGACTCTTCCCCATTTTCCTTAATTCATAGCGACATATGGGGTCCAGCCCGTGTTAAAAATATTTCAGGTACTCGATGGTTCATTACCTTCATTGATGACCATTCTCGAGTTTGTTGGGTGTATCTTCTAAAGGATAAGTCCGATGCTGCATCCGTGTTTAAAAAATTTCATGCCATGGTTCAAACCCAATTCCAAGTTGCTATACAAATTCTTCGTACAGATAATGGCAAAGAGTATTTTAACTCTATTCTTGGAGAATATCTTTCCCAACATGGCATCCTTCACCAAAGCTCGTGTCCTGACACACCCCAACAAAACGGAGTTGCGGAAAGAAAAAACCGACATCTCATTGAAGTTGCTCGGGCTCTTATGTTTACCACGAGTGTTCCTAAATATCTTTGGGGAGAGGCAGTTCTCACTGCCTCGTATCTGATAAATCGAATGCCATCTCGCATTCTGAAATTTCAGTATCCTCTTTCTAGTCTTGTTCGTATCTTCCCTTCCTTCCGAGGTATCTCCTCCTTACCTCTCAAGTTATTTGGTTGTGTTGTATTTGTCCATATTCCCTCCCATCAACGGTCTAAGCTTGATCCTAAGTCTCTCCAGTGTGTCTTTATTGGTTATTCTCCTACTCAACGTGGCTATAAGTGTTATTCACCCTCTCTTCGTAAGGTCTTTGTCTCTATGGATGTCACTTTTTCTGAGAATGACCCTTTCTTCCCCTCGACTTCTCTTCAGGGGGAGTCTATAGGAGTAGATGAAGATCAGTCATGGGAACCTATTAATGCCACAGTATTACCTCTACTTTTGGAAACAGGGGGAGCTACAGAATCCTCACCATCAGGAGCCTCCTCAAAATGGGGACAAGTTTATAGCAGGCGAAAGCCTCCTCAAAGTGTGAATAACCCAGAGCCTCTACACTGCCAGGATTCTGAACCATGTTCTAGTTCCAGCACCCCAATACTTGAGTGTCATGGTGAAAATGATCTACACTTGCCCATTGCTCTCAGAAAAGGTACTCGATCTTGTACTACTCATCCTATTTCTAATCATATTTCATATGGAAAGTTGTCCCCAGGGTTTCGTGCTTTCAATACTATGTTGGATAGTACAAAGATACCGAGAAATATACATGAGGCTCTCAATGATAAAAAATGGAGGGATGCTGTCTTTGAAGAAATGAATGCTTTAGAAAGAAATGGAACTTGGGAGATAGTGACCCTACCCAAAGGAAAAAAGGCAGTAGGATGCAAATGGGTGTTTACAATAAAATTCAATGCAGATAATAGCATCAACAGATACAAGGCAAGATTGGTTGCAAAGGGTTTCACTCAGACTCATGGGATAGATTATCATGAGACTTTTGCTCCGGTTGCTAAAGTCAATACCATCCGAGTTCTCTTATCTCTTGCTGCCAATCTAGATTGGCCTCTGCAACAGTTAGATGTGAAGAATGCATTCCTAAATGGTGACTTACATGAAGAAGTCTATATGGATCCTCCACCTGGTTTTGAAAGGGGAAATGAATCAGTGTGTAAACTAAAAAAGTCTCTATATGGATTGAAACAGTCTCCCAGAGAATGGTTCGACAAATTCACACAAGCAGTCAAAAGAAGAGGCTTCATTCAAGCACAGACTGATCATACTCTCTTCCACAAACACTCTAAGGATGGTAAAATTGCTATTCTTATTGTATATGTAGATGATATAATTCTTACAGGTGATGATATTGAGGAATTGAACACCTTGAAGAAATTTCTAGCAGCTCAATTTGAACTCAAAGACCTTGGCACTCTCAAATATTTCCTTGGTATGGAAGTTGCTAGGAGCAAAACAGGCATCACTCTAACACAAAAGAAATATGTTCTAGATCTTTTGTTGGAAACAGGAATGTTAGGGTGTAAACCTGCTGAGACACCTGTGGAACCTAATACCAAGTTAGGTATTGAAGATGGGAATGAGGTGGATAAAGAACAATATCAGCGATTGGTTGGTAAACTAATCTACTTATCTCATACGCGTCCTGACATTGCCTTTGCGGTGAGTATGATTAGTCAATTCATGCACTCACCCAAGGAGAAGCATCTTAGTGCAGTCTATAGGGTGCTTAGATACCTCAAGAATACTCCAGGAAGAGGATTATTCTTTAAAAAGGGGTATAAAAGGACAATTGAAATCTACACTGATGCAGATTGGGCAGGCTCATCAGTAGACAGAAGATCTACCTCAGGCTATTGCACCTATGTGTGGGGAAATCTTGTTACTTGGAGAAGCAAAAAGCAAACAGTGGTTGCAAGAAGTAGTGCTGAAGCAGAATTTCGAGCTTTAGCTCATGGAGTTTGTGAAGGAATCTGGTTAAGAAGACTTCTTCAAGAGTTGAAGATCTCATATTCCCTACCAATAAAACTATATTGTGACAACAAGGCAGCTGTTAGCATTGCTCAAAATCCTGTGCATCATGATCGAACAAAGCACGTGGAAGTTGATCGTCACTTCATCAAAGAAAAATTAGATGATGGAAGTGTGCATTTGATATATGTTCCAACCAAAGAGCAAACGGCAGATGTCCTTACCAAGGGCCTACACCGTCCAGCATTCGAAGACTTGATTGGCAAGTTGGGAATGATCAATATTTACCTCCCAACTTGAGGGGGAGTGTAGAAAATTAGAATTCAAACATGTTTCCGTTTTTATTTCCTATTAATTAGGATTGATTATAATTGATTAGGATTGATTATGATTGATTAGGATTAATTGTGATTGATTAGAATTGATTGTGATTAGGATTGTGATAGGATTGATTAGTCATCGCTTAGTCATTCTTAGCGATTCTTTCTTGTATAAATACTCACTCATGTAATTTATTCAATATCAATATACAAAAACTTCTTTTCAATACCATGTTATGATAAAGGCATTTAATCCGCTATCTGAATTCACTTTGCAAATTGTGTTATTTTTATGTTATAATCTTCATTTTATCTTTTTTCACCATACATTGTGCACCAGTAAGATTGCTCCCTTTGACCGGAAGGTCATGGATTTAAGTTTAGGAAATAGCCTTTTTGTAAAAATATAAAGATAAGGTCGCGTACAATTGACCTTCATCCCAATCCTAGTAAATCTGGGAGTTTTGTGCACCGGGGGTTCGCCCTGTTAATTCAACTCAAGTTATGCTTAAACTCTGTTTCAGAACATTATTCTGAGGAATAAAAGGATAAACTAATAGGAGGGTAATCCTTGCTAATTATGGATGTTTGTTTACTTTGTAGGGAATGGCACTTTTAACATTTTCTGCTGTTGCACCTGGACTAAAGCCTTCATGTGATGATAATGGTTGCCATCCAACAACAGGACAAACTGCAGCTTGCTTTATAGCACTCTACTTGGTTGCTCTTGGAACTGGTGGTATTAAACCATGTGTCTCATCATTTGGTGCTGACCAATTTGATGAAAATGATGAAACTGAGAGGATAAAGAAGAGCTCTTTCTTCAATTGGTTTTACTTCTCAATTAATATTGGTGCAATGATTGCTTCCTCAGTGTTAGTTTGGATACAGATGAATGTGGGTTGGGGATGGGGTTTTGGAGTACCTGCAGTTGCAATGGTCATTGCAATTATATTTTTCTTCATTGGTAGTCAATGGTACAGACTTCAAATACCAGGTGGCAGTCCCCTTACAAGGATTTGTCAAGTTTTAGTTGCAGCATCTAGGAAAGTTATGCTACAGGTGCCAGATGATAAGTCTCTTCTTTATGAGACTGAAGATGCAGAATCAAATATCAAAGGGAGCCGCAAACTTGAACACACTAATAAATTAAAGTGAGTAATCAAAACCATGTTCGCATTTATTTTGATAAACATCAGTTGTGAAAATGAAATCTTCATATGCTATTCTGACTTAGTGTATCATACAAAATATTAGAATACCAAAATTTTATCTCATTGTCATGTTTATACCTTTTTAAAATAATTTAGATTATCTTAAATGATTTCTTAGAAGTAATTTTTATATTTTATTACATTTCTTGAAATGTTTCCTTGTTCAATTATAATTAGAAGTTTAGTACGAATGAAAATAGGGGTTAATACTCTTTATTTTGTACCGAGAGAACCTAGAGTAGAGGTAAAACTGCTCTTTGTAACTAAAGGTGGGTTCAAATCCAGGAAAATGTTACCTATAAGTGGGGATTTTAGTGGAAGTGGTTTTTTTTTTACTCTTTATTTTGTATCATTCCAATATAATTTATAGCATCTTTTTTCTTTCTTTCCTTATTTTCTACTTGAATCTTTATAATTTTAACGGAAAGGGACCCTTTCATGTGTCATGAGGTTATGTGAGATGATTTGATAGGCCTAAAAGTGGTGAGTGGGTTAATTAATTAGTTAGAGAATTCTTCTAAATATTATGGGAGTAGGATAAAAGGAGGGGGAATTTGTAGAGTGAGATATGCATGTATTGAGTGAATATTGAGGAATTGGGGATCTCTTGGAATCAAGGTTTATTGGTTCTAGGGGTGAGCTAGGGGTCTTTTGGTATATTATTCTGCCATTAGTGTCTGTAAGGAGTTTGTCTCCATTTATGTTTCCTTCAATTTACAATAAATAAAATTGGGTTCCATTATGATCTTTGTGGTTTATAGTTAAATCAACGGTTATGGAGAGTACATTAATTAGATAGAGAGCGAAAAAATAATAACTGCTAATTTGTCTATGAGTGACTGAGATCATCATGTGTGAACTCATCTCACATGAGAGGATCCATTCTAAAGTTTGGTTAATATTCTCATCTTTTTTACTTCAAAAAAATGCTGACTCCAGGTGTTTGGATAAGGCTGCAATAGAGGTAGCATCTGATCGCATTAAGGATTTGCCAAATCCATGGAGACTCTCCACAGTAACACAAGTTGAGGAGCTCAAGTCAATAGTCCATTTGCTCCCAGTTTGGGCATCACTGATTGCTTTTGCAACTGTATACAGTCAAATGAGCACTATGTTTGTATTACAAGGCAACACAATGGACCAACACATTGGCCCTCACTTCAAAATTCCATCAGCATCTCTCTCCCTTTTTGACACTCTAAGTGTCATCTTCTGGGCCCCAGTTTATGACCGCATCATTGTCCCATATGCAAGAAAGTTCACTGGTCATGAACAAGGATTCACACAGCTTCAAAGAATAGGCATTGGCCTTGTCATTTCCATTATTTCCATGATTGTTGCTGGCATTTTAGAGGTTGTTAGACTTGACATGGTGAGAAAAAACAACTACTATGATCTTGAAACTATCCCCATGTCAATCTTCTGGCAAGTGCCTCAGTATTTTCTTGTGGGGGCTGCAGAAGTTTTCACTAACATTGGTCAAATGGAGTTCTTTTATGGTCAAGCACCTGATGCCATGAGAAGCCTTTGTGCTGCTCTATCACTCACAACTAATGCATTGGGAAATTATGTGAGCACTTTGCTTGTTATTATTGTGACAAAAGTCACCACAAGCAATGGAAGGCTTGGTTGGATTCCTGACAATCTGAATAGGGGCCATCTTGATTACTTCTATTGGCTTTTGACCATTCTTAGCTTGCTCAACTTTCTTGTTTATCTTTGGATTGCTAAGAGGTATACTTACAAAAAGGTGATAGGAAATACTCATTGAGATGTTGTAGTGATGTTTCAGTTTCACAACTTCATTTGCTCCACTATTGTAATTTGCTATTGGTCTTTTGGTCCTGTTGTATATTGGCATTTGCGTCTTTCTGGACGATATTTAATTTTAGAGAAATATTACTCTTATTTTATATGAGAGCAGTTCTCTCATGTTATCTTACTTCGAAAATCTCACTCATTTTTTTTCTTTTTTCTTTTTTATCCTTTAATGGTGGGTCCCACATGATTTCTCTCTATAACATAAAAGAACTACTCTCATGTAAAATGAGAGTAGCATTCCCCTTAATTTTATCTATGCTCTTTGGAGTGTTTTGAATTAAATATTGTACTATTCGTGGTTCCTTCGTGATTTTGTCTAGTTCATGTTCTTGCTTGATCTTGAGATTTGATTCAGCCTAAGAGTATGTTTCACCTCTCTTTTTTTCTTCATAAAACCTATTTAAAAATAAAGCTAAAAATAAATTCTTATAAAACTAAGCTAAAATAAAACTAAAGACATTTGGTGTTTGATCTTGTAAATTGTTAATTTCACAAACTATTTGTCGAAGCTCTTGGCTTAGAAAATGTTCAAGTTACCTTTGAAGCAGCTCACAAATTAAATTTATGTGAATAAATGTCACATACTGAGTTAATGAAAATCCTTCTATTTCACTAAACAACTCATAAGTTTGATTAATTTTTCACCAAAAAATTAATGGTGGAGATTAATGAAGTTATCAATGGAGAATGTTGGAAAATCGTTTTTAGAGCAAGAGATTGTCAGTTAGAGCCCTGAATGGCTGAAGATTGGTCTTTGTTTGAGAAGAGTTTAAGATGCTACTTGTTTTTATTCTCTAAACAATGTTTTGTCTGACTTCCCCTTTCAAAAAGGAAAGAAGCTACATCGAATACTAATACTATAAAAATCTTTTGAGAGATTGGGTAAGTACTGCCCTCCGAATGGTTAATCGGAGGTAAAGAAAGCCTTCAACGCGAATTGGATATTTTTATGTAAATCAACCAGGCTGATACGCAAGATTGGATGTTAATTTGCTCTTCAAAACCTACACATTTATGGATAGAGGCCCAATAGATAAAATATGCATCTATACTTACAAAGGGCGAACTAGTGTATATCATCTCTGAAATTTTTTTGATAAATTTTTACAAATTACATTATCTTCTCCCGGAACAACACAGCGAAATCTAGTATTTTCTTGAAAGAAGATAGTGTAGTTTGTAAGAGTTTGTAAAAAAAAAATTTATAAACATTTTTTTTGTAAATATAACCTGCTCCAAGCAAATAATATAAAACAACCTGCCAAAAGTCACTCAAATCCAAACTTCAATCATATAATACCCAACTACTTTTGGGACTGTGGTTATGCGAAAAACTTACCCAGTAATTTGTTCTACACCATTTAGCAATTCAACGAAAGGCTGTTGTCCTCTGCATTCTACTAGCTTATTGTTAAAAGGGGAAATTCTACTTATCAGAATATGTAACTGTTCTGACTATCATGCTCATATATGATAGTTTATACCTTGTTACCGTATACCCACAATGAATGTTTGAACACATTTTTTAACTGCTGACTTTATAAATGAGATATCCCATAAATACATAAAATGAGATAACGGGACTATAGTCCCAAAGAAGAAAAAGTAAACAGAAGTCACACACAGAACAAGAGCTACCATAACATTAACCAGCAGACATAGATGAGCTCTTCTTGAAGCAAACTGCGATTGCCAAGTTAGTCAGCATATTGAATGACTTCACGAGGCTGATTTCCACTTGCCAATTCTGTTTAAGCATACTTTTCATTTGCTTGATCAATTGTCATGTATCCTTGTTACCCATAACTTTTTCCCCTTAAAGCATTTAGATCAGGGCTTCAGAATCAAGCTCAAGTTCGACTCTTCTGATGTCAAGATCACATAAGCAACTTGACCTTCCCAAGCACCCAAATCTTCAACAACCTGAGCAATAGTGGCCACCAATCTTCGCATAAAACAATCAGCACCACCAATTTAAACTTTACAGGCACCATAAGAATTAATTCTGACCCTGCCATTCTTTCACAGTTTTTTTATCTTTACTCGAATTTTCTTCTTTTCTGTTTTTGTTCAAAGTCATCCGTCGACTCCACCTGAGGAGAGATCTGGTAGAGGAAACAATGGCATTCTTATCAGGTGCATGGCTATAATAGCTCATCTTAATTAATTAGTAAATCAAGTGTAATTAATTAATTAAGCATGTTTTACTGAGTGAAATTAAGTATAAGGCTTAATTAAATGAATCTGAGTCACTTTGGAGTTAAAAAGTGTATTCAGTGAAAATTAAGGGGTATAAATGGGTACTGGTGAAAGTGCCCAAAATAAAAAAAAAATAAAAATAGCAATATTCCTAGAATAATATTCCAGACTTTTGGGTAAAGTTTGGTAATTATTGGAGTTGAATAGATAGATGAACCAATACCCACTTAAAGACATTTAACATATGTTAAGTGACTAAAAGCCAAAAGAATCCCCATTTTCCCCCCCATTGCCCGTCGACTGCAACAGAAAGGAGGAGAAAAGAAGAGAGGGAGAAGAGAGGGAAGAAGAAAGGGGAGATCATAGAGTGAGCAAATCTCAACCAAATCCATCCGTTCAAAAGCCTAAATCGCTTAGAATCTCGCCCTCTTTCATAATCCTTGCTTAGTTCTTAGTGGGGAGCTTTGTGGAGGGAGATTTTGGCTCTCAAAAATTCGGCCATTTGAGAGATTTTGGGGTTTTTGGAAGTTCAACCTCCATGGGAGCTTGAGGAACACTCCTTGCTTGGTTGTGTGACCATTGGTGGTAAGATTCTAACCCTTGAACCTCATGATTCCTTGAAATTTGCATGAGTTAGGGTTTATGAATAGTGTTTTAGGGATTTTGATGAAATGTTGTTAAATTAGCTATGTTCTAGGAAGAATGGAGCTTAGAGCATGTAACACCCCGTTCTAGAACCGGTTTGTTAACATCGCATTATGATATTAAGCGCAGTTACAATCACATGGGTTCAATTAAAATCCGGATAAATTTTTCATTTTAAAACATGCCGAATTTATAATACCCAATTTCGTGATCATAACCGTATTACCTTGCGGAATCAGATAAACCAAGCTTAACATCATGTTCTTATTCAATTTTTAAACCATTAATTTACTTCTTATTTATTTCACAATTTCTACTATATTGTAGATCTCTTCGTTAGCTACGCGTGGTTTCAAACCGCTCCTTATTTGGAGCTCTGTAGCTCAAGTTATGACAATTTTACTAACTCAGGTGTATGCTGAAAAACTACGCGGGTAGGGCGCTTAAGCTCGCTCCAGGGCGCTTAAGCACCCACAGACAGAGGGAATTCACATTTTTGGCCACCAAGGGCGCTTAAGCGCGCTCCAGGGCGCTTAAGCGCGCTACCTGGGCGCTTAAGCCCCCATTTTGGGCGCTAAAGCTCCAGGCGGCAGAAAACTTTTGTTCTTCACAGGTGCATCAGGGCGCTTAAGCCCCCTCATGGGCGCTTAAGCCCCCTGAGCAGGCTTAAGCCTCCATTTGCAGGCTTAAGCCCCCTCTTCTGGGCAATTTCCTATACTCATATTTTTCATGCATCTTTCTTGGGGAATCAATCCTACACATTTTACAACCTATTTAACAAACTTGTGATATCCCTATATCATTGCTTAACTCTCATCCTCTCATCATTGATTTAACGGAAATTGGGCAGCATAATCTTTGTTTTCTCAACGTTTCCCAACTTAGCACAAGGTACCTAATTGACTTTCCAGCTCAACATATCCAATACATAAAAATACATTCATGCATTTAACTTACAATAATCATCATACACAAATATCTTCATTACTTACAATATTACATCATGTCTTAATTACAAATCTCATATACATGCCAAAGGACTTAGCTACAAAATGAACATGATCAAAGCAAGTAACCATGTATCATATACCCATTACTACTACAATGATCATGCACTAAGTCCTCCAAAATACATCATATGACATCAAAATATACATATAGCAATGCTAAATGGCATGCAACTCAACATGTCCAGCTATCAGGTACAGTCTACTCACGCTTCTTGCCTCGATCAACCTCACCTCTATCAGTACCTGAAATGATGCCCCACAACACGGGGTGAGATATACGAATATATCACAGTAAACCAGAGGTCCTTGGAGATCATTCCACCCTAAGGTTCACTTTGATGTACACATAATCATAATAGCTTAACACATTCTTATCCACAAGCATCACATGGACTTCCAAGAGAGATCCACTATGGGCTGTTTCTCTTAGGCTCTTACCACATGGAGATCCACATAGGGCTGTTTCCAAGGGAAGTCCTTTCCTCAATCTAGGAACCTCCAAGAGGGATCCACATAGGGCTGTTCCTCTTAGGCTCTAACCACATGGAGATCCACATAGGGCTGTTTCCAAGGGAAGTCCTTTCCTCAATCTAGGAACCTCCAAGAGGGATCCACATAGGGCTGTTCCTCTTAGGCTCTAACCACATGGAGATCCACATAGGGCTGTTTCCAAGGGAAGTTCCTACCAATCATCCTCATCATAATACTATCACTCATAACCTCAATCACAATCCTCAACCATTACCTCATTCATTATTGCTACTTCTATAATCATTCCTCAATTACTCTTAAACAATCAAACATCAACCAATAATCATCAATCAATCATAACATGTATCAATGCATGAATCAATGCATGAGCATACAATCACTATCATAATTACATATCACATCTCATAAACCATTTCTCCTCAACGGAGTATGGTGGAACACTCAATGGGATCAACCACAAGGTCCAAAGGTTTACCTTGCTCTTGAGCCTTCCTCAATTGCACACAACCCCAAGGGTTGGTCACTCCACTTGGTCCTCTTGCCCCAATCCTATCAACACAAGGAATACAATCAAACAATGCTAACAATGCAAGGAAATCCATAG